ATGACCCCAGAAGTGTACCGCAAGCGGTTCAGGTCCATGCATAAGGGACCTGGGGACTCTTACACGGATGTGGCGAGTCGCTTACGCACCACATTCCGACAGTGGACTAAAGTATTGAAAGCTGACTCCTACGAGTCTTTAGAAGATCTCATGATACGAGATCAGCTCCTGCATATCTGCCCAGCAGACGTCAGACAGTTTGTCTTAGAAAGAGAACCAGCCTCTACTAAAGCTGCAGCCAATTTGGCAGATACCTCCCACCAACTTGCAGTCAGTCACTGTGGGCAACCGGTCTGTAACTGGTTTCCGGGACACCGGAGCAGAAGTCACCTTGATCCGGTCAGAGGTGATTAAGCAAAGGAACCTCATCCCAGGAAAGTTCCTTACCCTCACAGGAGATGGGGGGACCCATTCACGCATACTCATATTTATCGATTGGGGTGCGGGAAGGGGGATGAGGGAGGTGGGGGTCTCGGATGAAATTCCCACACCTGTTCTGTTGGGTGCCGATTTGGGTACTCTTGTGTCCTATTACGCCCCTGCCGAGAATACCCGGAAGGCCCCCCTGGAACTCTCTGGACATGCCAAGGTACTGTGTGCAGATGTTGGGGTAATGTCTGGGCAACCTGTGGATAGACAGAGGGAGGGGGCTGGGAATGTATTGGGGCTACCGGATTCTCCATTAGTTGGAGAAGGAGAAGAAATCTCCTTGTCTGGGGAGGTATCGAACTCATGTGTCATGGACATTAGAAACGTACCTGTTAATAATGATGACGATGAAGCCGATATTGATAATGTTGATGATAATGTTGATACGGTCAATGATAGTGATGATAATGATGACGATGATGCTGATATTGATAATGTCAATCACGTTGATGATAAGGTTGGTAATGCTAATGATGATGATGGTAATGAGGATAAAAACTGATGCATTTTCATTGTTGGGGGTCAACCACAGTGCTGTGAAGGGGGCAGAGGTACAATCTCTGGGGGCTGAGCAAAGGGATGGTCTGAGTAGGCCTGTTCCTTGCCCAGGCCCAGAGGATTCTACTTCGATAAGTGTCCAGGCGTTGTCCGGGCATGTTACTGGACAGCCGGCTGGGACTTGTAGTTCCACGTGTAAGGCAGCACTGGAAAGAAATTCTCACATGGACCTCAGCAGCCAGATAGCTGCGATCTTCCCTGCTGAGAAGGGTAAGCACGCCTGGATTGGAAGTGCGAGGGGCCTCATTTGAGTTGATCAGCGGATCTCCGAGAGGGGGCTACGGCCTTCAGCTCCACTCATCTCTCCTTTCCATTCAGGTACAGGAGCTGCTGGCAAGGCCTATGAGAGATGGTGTCAGAGTTCAGGAAAACCCGGGGAGAGCTCACCGTGCTGTTCATGAGTTGGATGGCAGGGTGTATCTTTCCCCCATGCCTTCAGCCAACCTCATCTCACAGGAGGTGCAGACTGAACGGGCCAAAGAGACAGAGGGAAAGGTGCCGTCTGGAATCCAGGGGTCAGCTAGAGTCTGAGCATCCCCAGTAGTCTCGGTCCCCAAACAGGATCAGATGACCAGACTTGGAAAACTGAGCGCCAGCCCTGTGGTTGTGGCCTACCCCATGCCCAGGAGCCATGAGGTAATGAAGCATCCGGAAGGGGCCCGCTGTCTAATCATCATGGACCTGAGCAGAGGGTCTGGGCCACCATCTCTAACCCAGGAGGCTCAGGACGAGTCAACCTTCACCACCCCATGTGGCTTGCCTAAATTCCTGGGAAAGCTAATTGGGGTTGAGAATGCACCAACCACCTCCCCAGGGGTCAGGCATGGCCTACAATGTGGAATGGAACTGGGTGCAGTTGCCCACTTTAGGGGCCTTGTGGTGTTTGGCCCTGTCTGGGAAGAGCAACTTGGGCCCCTGTAACTAGTCAGGAGCTGTCAGGACTCCAGGGTATGACCAGAGGTATGTGAACAGACGCAGGGAAACGCAGGCTTCAGATATGTTATAAACAATATAATTTATTAACACTAACAATACATAAACGCAGTGCAATACTAAAACATAACACAGTGCAAACGAACCAAACCAAACCACCCACAGATAACAATACATACAATGCAAGCGTCGTCAGGCAGGCCGGGTCAATAACAATTGGGCAGGTAGGAACAGGAGGAGCAGGCAGAGAGTAGTCAGGTCACAAGCCGGGTACAGCAACTAACGGGCAGGTAGGTACAGGGGGTCAGGCAGAGAATGGTCGGGGTCACAAGCCAGGGATCAAACAGGAGAAGTCAGCAGAGGTCTGGATCAGGCAGGGTCAGCAACGAATCAGTCAGACGGGAACAGGAACAGGGATGCAGGTAACAAGATACAGGGGCCCATAGAAAAGCACACACCAAGGCCCAGACTGCAGGTCTGGCCATCCCTTAAATACACCTGCATAATCAGCTTCAGGTGTTGGCTGACTACAGGGTTGAGTCTCTGATTGCTGAGAGCACCCGCTGGCCAGCCCTGGTACTGCAGCCCACAAGGCAGGTGAGTCCCACCATTATTGGCAAGTCCATTCCTGACAGTACCCCCCCCTCAAGGAGCGGCCTCAGGACGCTCCAAACAGTCCTAGCTGGGCAAAATGTTCCACCGCCCGGGTCTGGTAACTGGCGGGATATCAAAGACTGGCACATCGGGCTGGACTCCGGGCAGAGGCACATCGGGCTGGACTCCGGGGCAGAGGCACAGGGCCCCCAGGAGGAGCGGCAGGCACAGGGCCCCCAGGAGGAGCGGCAGGCACCGGGCCCCCAGGCGGGGCGGCGGTTGCCGGGCCCCCAGGCGGGGTGGCGGACGGGGGCCCCCAGGCAGAGCGGCGGGCGCCGGGCCCCCAGGCGGGGCGGCGGGCCGGGCCCCCAGGCGGGGCGGCAGGCACCAGGCCCACAGGCGGAGCGACAGGCACCGTGCCCCCAGGCGGAGCGGCGGGCGCCGGGCCCCCAGGCGGAGCGGCAGGCCCGGGCCCCCAGGCGGAGCGGCAGGCGTCGGCCCCCAGGCGGAGCGACAGGCGTCGGTCCCCCCAGGCGGAGCGACAGGTCTCAGGCCCCCAGGCGGAGCGGGTCTCGGGCCCCCAGGCGGGGTGGGCGGAGCCCCCAGGCGGGCGGCGGGCATCGGGCCCCCAGGCGGGAGGCAGGCACCAGGCCCCCAGGCGGAGCGGCAGGCCCCCAGGCGGAGGCACGGTTCGGGTCGCCGGGGCGGGCGCCGGGCCCCCAGGCGGAGGTCAGGCAGGGCCCCCAGGAGGAGCGGCAGGCACCGGGCCCCCAGGTCGGCGGGCCGGCCCCCAGGCGGGGTGGCGGGCGAGGCAGGCGGCGGGCGCCGGGCCCCCAGGCCCCCCCCCCAGGCGGGGCGGCAGCACCAGACAGGCGGAGCTCAGGCACCCCCCCAGGCGGAGCGGCTGGCGCCGGGCCCCCAGGCGGAGCGGCAGGTCTCGGGCAGCGGCCTTCAGGCCCCCAGGGAGCGGCGGGCGCCGGGCCCCCGGAGCGGCGGAGGGAGCGGCGGGCGCCGGGCCCCCAGGAGGGGCGGCAGGCACCAGGCCCCCAGGCGGAGCGGCAGGCACCGGGCCCCCAGGCGGAGCGGCGGGCGCCGGGCCCCCAGGCGGGCGACAGGCACCGGGCCCCCCAGGCGGGGCGACAGGCACCGGGTCATCAGGCACGACAGCGGGCATCGGGTCACCAGGCATCAGGTCATTTGACTTGCCAGTGTGCACCGCATCATCTGGCAAGGCAGTGGGCACCGAGTCACCAGGCACGACAGTGGGCTCCGAGTCAACTGGCATGACCGCGGGCACTGGGTCAGACATTGGATTGTCTGGCTGGACAGCGGGCATCGGGTCACCAGGCATCAGGTCATTTGGCTTGACAGCGGGCACCGCGTCATCTGGCAAGGCAGTGGGCACCGAGTCACCAGGCACGACAGTGGGCTCTGAGTCAATTGGCACAACAGCGGGCACCGGGTCATCAGGTACCGGATCCTCTGGCTCGACAGCAGGCACCGGGTCATCTGGCACTGGATCATCTGGCTCGACAGCGGGCATCGGGTCACCAGGCATGACCGCGGGCACTGGGTCTTCAAGCATTGGATTGTCTGGCTCGACAGCGGGCATCGGGTCACCAGGTATGACAGCGGGCACTGGGTCACCAGGCATCAGGTCATTTGGCTCGCCAGCGGGCACCGCGTCATCTGGCAAGGCAGTGGGCACAGAGTCACCAGGCATGGCACAACGCGGGCACATCTGGGGGCACAGACATTGGATCGTCTGGCTCGACAGCGGGCATCGGGTCACCAGGCATGACCGCGGGCACTGGGTCACAGCATTTGGCTCAACAGCGGGCAGCGGGTCACCAGGTATGACATCGGGCACCACCAGGCATCAGGTCATTTGGCTCGCCAGCGGGCACCGCGTCATCTGGCAAGGCAGTGGGCACAAGTCACCAGGCACAACAGTGGGCTCTGAGTCAATTGGCGGGCACGGGTCACATTGGATCGTCTGGGACAGCGGGCACCGGGTCATCTGGCGCTGGATCATTTGGCTCAACAGCGGGCATCGTCATCTGGGGGCAGTCACAGCGGGCATCGGGTCACCAGTCATGGCACGACAGCGGGCACTGGGTCATCTGGCGCTGGAGGCATGGCTCGACAGCGGGTCACCAGGCTCGATCAGGCATTGGATCGTCTGGCTCGACAGCGGGCACCGGGTCATCAGGTACCGGATCATCTGGATCGACAGCGGGCACCGGGTCATCTGGCGTTGGATCGTCTGGCTCGACAGCGGGCATCGGGTCACCAGGCATGACAGCAGGCACTGGGTCATCAGGTACCGGATTGTCTGGATCGACAGCGGGCACCGGGTCATCTGGCGCTCGATCGTCTGGCTCGACAGCGGGCATCGGGTCACCAGGCATGACAGCGGGCACTGGGTCATCAGACATTGGATCGTCTGGCTCGACAGCGGGCATCGGGTCACCAGGTATGACAGCGGGCACTGGGTCATCAGGCATTGGATCGTCTGGCTCGACAGCAGGCATCGAGTCACCAGGCATGACAGCGGGCACCGGGTCATCAGGTACCGGATCGTCTGGCTCGACAGCGGGCATCGGGTCACCAGGTATGACAGCGGGCACCGGGTCATCATGTACTGGATCGTCTGGCTCCACAGCGGGCATCGGGTCACCAGGCATGACAGCGGGCACTGGGTCATCAGGCATTGGATCGTCTGGCTCGACAGCGGGCATTGGGTCACTAGGTATGACAACGGGCACTGGGTCATCAGGTGTGATAGGATCATCAGGCTGGGTACAGACATCAGGCTGGGTACAGACATCAGGCTGGGTACAGACATCAGGCTGAAGTGCGGGTGCCGAGGCACCAGGCTGAACCACGGAAGGCAGGTTCTCAGACGGCAGGCTCACCGGTTTGGATACTGGCAGGATGGTACTGGTTGGAAGGAATTTTCGCTTTTTTCTGGTTTTAACTACTGGGGCACTGCAAGTAAACGCAGGTCTGCAAACGAATGGAGCAGCTGAGGACAGAGAAGAGCTGGAAGATGGAACAGAGGAGAGAGCAGTTGCTACAGAGGACTTCTTTACAGGGTTAAAGAAAGGATAGGTGCAGCGAGTGGGAGCAGAGGACTGGTATGTGGTAGTTAGAGTATACTGGGCAGTCACTGGGGGTGCTGTCAGGGATGCAGGAAGAGTGCCTTGAGTGGAGGAATGATGTTGTAAGCTGACTGAGGCTGGGTGCAACAAGTCTGACCATGTCTGCAGTATGGGTTGAACAAAGCTCCGCTTACACAAAGCCTGTCTGGTCAAAGACTGCACTGCGTTTATACAATCTCTTAGTACCTGTGGTGAACATGCAGAATAACGCTCCAGAAAGTAATCCACATCATCCTCTAATAACCATACCAGGGACTCTACCTGGTCGGCACTAAATGGCGGCAAAAATTCATCCCTGCATTCGGGGGTACCAGATGAAACCAACTCAGCACAAACCTGAATCAATGGCTGCACCTCAGAGAATTCTGTGCCCTGATCTACTAGGCAATGAGCGATCCGTATACATTCTAGCAGTTGATCCCGGGTATACTCCTTCAGAGTCTGATAAGCATATTCTCTGTCATCAAAAACCAGCAGCGACAAATACACAACCTCATCAAGATCCATCCTTCCCAGCAACAATAAGCCAAGATAGCTTCCCTGTGCAGCCACTTCTGGTCAGGATTGGCCTTGGTGTAATGTCAGGACTCCAGGGTATGACGCAGGGAAACGCAGGCTTCAGATATGTTATAAACAATATAATTTATTAACACTAACAATACATAAACGCAGTGCAATACTAAAACATAACACAGTGCAAACAAACCAAACCAAACCACCCACAGATAACAATACATACAATGCAAGCGTCGTCAGGCAGGCCGGGTCAAAAAAAACAATCGGGCAGGTAGGAACAGGAGGAGCAGGCAGAGAGAGTAGTCAGGTCACGAGCCGGGTACAGCAACTAACGGGCAGGTAGGTACAGGGGGTCAGGCAGAGAATGGTCGGGGTCACAAGCCAGGGATCAAACAGGAGAAGTCAGCAGAGGTCCGGATCAGGCAGGGTCAGCAACGAATCAGTCAGACAGGAACAGGAACAGGAACAGGGATGCAGGTAACAAGATACAGGGGCCCATAGAAAAGCACACACCAAGGCCCAGACTGCAGGTCTGGCCATCCCTTAAATACACCTGCATAATCAGCTTCAGGTGTTTGGCTGACTACAGGGTTGAGTCTCTGATTGCTGAGAGCACCCGCTGGCCAGCCCTGGTACTGCAGCCCACAAGGCAGGTGAGTCCCACCATTACTGGCAAGTCCATTCCTGACAGGAGCGAACTGCCCGTGCCTAGACTTACAGTTGAGAATGGTAACTGTCAGAGGGGCATGTCAGTGGTTCAGCTTTGGGAACCACCGGTAGGAAGAGAACCCCAGAGGTCTGGGAATGGGGAGACTGAGGCAGTTATGGCCTGGCCGACTCCCCAGGTCAAGAAGCAGGTTTCGTCAGTCTTGGATGCAGCTGGCTACGGTAAGACGCCTGGGTGCAACTATCATAGCTCAGCTGGACCCATGACTGACCTAGCAGACAGGAAACTGACAAAACTGGGGTCCTGGATGCTAGCAGGTAAAGAGGACTGTTCATCTTGGATGAAGGTACCTGTGGACCCATCTGGGCAGTGAGTTCCAGAATTCGCCTGTCCGGTTCCAGTGCACACAGGCACCACTACCTTCGGGTCAGATGTAGTCCTGGTTCAGAGGATGGAGAGGGAAAGCTCATTCTCTACCTCGACAAAAAGCTACATCTCAATATGTTAGCAGATGACACCTCTGAGCAGAAGTGTTTGTGAACAGGTGGACACCCCGGCAGTCGCCACGATATCCTGATATCACAGCCGACTGGTGCTCCCCCATAACCACTCACTTGGTCGGCACAACAGAAGGAACCTGGTTCTCCCGCAGTGCAATGGCACCCTGTCAATCCAAGGTGAACCTCTGGGCAGAGGTCGGTTGCGTCAGGAGGGAAATTGTAGTTCCTCTTTATAAATTGAGTTTCCTCTTTCTCTGTATAAAAAAGTGGTGGTGGAACTCTGAAGGGTTAATTGCGTAATTAACCTGACCCAGTAACAATCGCATTCAGGCTGCTGCTACGTCGATTGTGGTCCAATTAGCTGGAAAATCGGTGTGCAGGGTGCAGCTGGGTGTGACATTGTTACGCACGTGACATCACGGTTTTAGATTAGCTAGTCCTTCGGTCACGAAGGGCTGGGGTCTGACGCCGCACCCGTCACAAGGGGCACTTAAAAAAATGTTTTTCTTTATTTTCTTTTTACACTGTCTCTTTAATTTTTTTCTTTTTATCACTTTTATTGCTATCACAAGGGATAAACATCCCTTTTAATAGCATGGATCATGACAGGTTCTTTTTACTAAGACATTAGACCCCAGATCTCTCCTCTGCCCTTAAAAGCATTTGATCAAAACAAGATATCATGTCCTGTATTACAATCACAATATGGAGTTTGCATTATCATCTGCTATAAAGTAAAGTAATTGCTTAAAAACCATAACCAAGGCAAGTCAACCATACAATCCAAACGCTGAAGAGTAATTAAACCATTAAACTGGGATGTAAAACATATATGCTATTTCTATATTCTCAGGTGTAATAAATCTTGTAAAAATATGCATTCACTTTTTACTCAGGTAAATGTGAAATATTGCATAAGTGTAATTAGTTTTTACTATTTCCAGGCAGCATGTGGAGCTCCTGGCCTATTTTGACATTTATGAAGCTAACCCTTTTAAAGTAAGTCTAAACCCAAGAACAAAAATTGTACTTTCTGTCCTAGGGAGACAATACCTAGTCACTGCTCTGAATGTATGGAAGTACATCACTGTCACCCTTTGTCGGTACTGATTTGGACCATCCTCTAATGGAGGTGTTCTGTAAGTTCACAGAGGTTCACTGGGCAGGGCTATCAACACGGAGATCATAGGAAGCTACAAGCTCAGTTTTTTTTACAGTATCCGTGGGTATTTTTGTACTTACTGAACAGATTTTAAATTCATATTTAAAGTCTTCACCTAAAATGCGGTGTTCCACTTGTGCTCTTCCCCCTCCCCTCTCATTAGTTCTAAATTCACGTTTTTGGGGCTTTTCGCATTTCTTGCTTAAGAACTGAATGCACCTCAATAGAAGTCTATGTCTCAATGCACACATATATTTTTAGTAGAGTTTAGGAGAAGCAGCATTTAGGCTACGTTCACACTAGCCTTGTGTGCAGGCGGCAGAGAGGTGTTTGGAAAGCGTTTTTACCGCTTCCCAAACGCCTCTGCCAATTCTGCACATTACAGCACATGGTGCTGTTCTAACGGGAGCGTTTGCGTCGCGTCGCGGCAAAACGGACGCCTCTGGACGAGTCAGGAGGCTTTGAAGCCTCCTATTCTTGTCTATGGTGCCGCTCCGCAAACGCCCGGCCGGCGTTTTGCGGTGCGGTTGTGACGCGGTTGCGGGGCGTTTGCGGAGCGGTAACACCACTCAAACTGCATTATAGGCGTTTGTGGGGCGTTATTAACGCTCGGCAAACGCCTAGCAACCGCCGCTAAACCGCGCATGCGGCGTTTGCGGAGCGTTTGCCGAGCGTTAATAACGCTCTGCAAACGCCGGACCAACGCTTGCCAAACGCTATAGGGGCGTTTGGCAAGCGTTGGCAAAACAGCCTAGTGTGAACGAGCCCTTAGAGGCAATAAAATGCTCCTCTCCTGAATGCAGAAGAATCGCTTTCAGGAGAGGAGAGTTTTTGCACAAAAATTCTTGACATGGCAAAAATGAATGTAAACGCAAAACGTCCAAACACGTTAATGATAGGAGCATTAAACTCTTAGTTCATTTCAATGGCCAGAATTAATTTATTCTGGCCAACGAAAGAAATTAACTCCAAAGTGTTTGATGCTGCTAAACTCAGGTAAAGTGCATTTTATCTGTTTCCAGAAGAAATGCATCTAGGGAGTTGTTTATAGTACATTTTTCTGAGAGGTACCCACTCTCACTTGGCTCAGCTTGTCTAGGCTTGTCTAGGCTTCCCACATCCAAGATGGCAGCATCGGAACCCAAACACCAGAGAAAAACAGGCCTGAGTGAGGAAGCTTTGGACCCTTAGACTGGTAAGTGTCTGTCAGTATTTGTGGCTGCTGACGTTTAATTTTTTTCAGAAATTACTGAAGTTCCTCTTTGACCACTTCAATCCCTGCATCCGGGGATGGGCTTTCCTGTAGCTGCCTGATCACTTCTACAGGTCACTGGAGGGGGCCTCCCTCCCGCCGCCAACCACCGCCATTCCTGACTGCTGGTGCAATCGGGGAGCCTGTGACCGCTGTAACTTGTCGACTCAGCTTCTCAAAGAGGAAAGGTAAGTGCATTTGTACTCACCTCTCCTCTGTGATGTCAAAAACTGGAAGCAATGAACATTTAGTTACTTCCAGTTTCAGTTTGTTGCTTACAATCTGTTACAGGCTTGTAAAGCATCTGATCAAACAGATCTGGTTTTGATCAGATGATTTTGAGGGCAGAGGAGAGATCTGTGGGTCTAGTTAAGAGTACTCGTTACTATCACAAGGGCTGTTGTTCATCCCTTTTGATAGTAATAAAGTTGATGCAAAAAAACTGTAAAGCATCCCCATCCACCCTTGTTCACACACAAATGTGAACGCATATATACAGTTAGAACAAATGTCAACTTGTTTATGGCCTTCTGTGCCCCTGCTGGCAATACTTAGGGCTAATTTACACCAAATGCAAGAAACATTAATATATTCCAATATATCAGTTCACACAATTGCAGTGCTTTCAAGCGTGTTTTAAAAAAGTACAGCATGCTTGCACACTGGAACACACTGAAGTTGAAGAGATTTTCTCTTGCTGTCTGGTACATCACTGACAAAAAGTGAA